GGCTCCCAACAAGGAAAAAGAGAAAAATGTAATAGGAGGGGCAGGACCTTTAAGCCCCTGGAAGTTACTTTAGCTAGAGGGGGAAGGGCTTGCAATAGTGAGGAAAGGTGCAACAATAATGGCTGCCTGCCTGTTTGTACCTCTGTTATTAGAAGCATCAGTGACTAGGACTTGGAAAGGGTCTTTAGAAATAAAAAAAAAAAGCAGCAGTTAACAGTACACAGATCCTCAGTATTCACAGAATAAGGTTCTTTTTTCATGCCCTGATTCCCACAAGCTCTGTGCAAGCTGCTCCAGCAACAAGTGCACAGCTGCCTGCCAAGGGGCTGGGGCTGGTAATGGGGGATGGGTAGTTGCTACTGTACTGAGAGCCGAAATTGATAGAAATTAGCCACGTTTTACCATCCAAAACTTTCCCTAGAAGTTATAAGCCTTGAGTAGACTAGAGTTCCAAAATAGTTACATCAGACAGATCCTGTTGTCTGGGTGAGGAGACAGAGTCCTGGTGCTTTCTAATCTACCATCTTCCCAGAATCTCAATAATATCTTACAGCTAAAGGATCCATTTCAGAATCACACATTGCATTTAATCATCACGTCTCCATCAGTGTTCTCCTCCAGTGTTCAGTCTTTCCTTAGCTCTCATGACCATGACACTTTTGAAGTTATTTTGTAGCATTTCTCTGAATGTAGTTTTGTCTGATGTTTTCTCATGATTAGAATGAGGTTATACATTCTCAGCATCAGTATTGCAGAAGCGATGGTGCATTCTTTTCATTGCACCCTTTCTAGTAACACATGGTTTCACTGTGCTCCATCACTGGTGATGTTAACTTTGATCTCCGGATTATGGTGGGGCTTACCAGACTTCCTTACTGTGAAGTTACTTTTTCTCTTTGTAATTAATAAGTGTTTTATCAGGAGACACTAATATTTTTAAACAGGTTACATATTCTGTTCATCTTTAAACTTGAATTCATTTATTTAGGAAATTTTTTATTTTGTATTCTAGAAAATTTATTTGGGAAAATTGACATACATATTTGTAACAGTATAGACTCATCGTTTCCCATTATAACGATCATTATTTATTTTGAAGCTCAAATTGCCCTTGATTTGACCAACAGGATTCCATTCAAGCCGGCTTTTGTTGTTCTTTTGACATGTCCGCATCCTTGCATTCTGGTACTGTTGTACTATCCCTGCTTCAGTCCTGGAATCAGTCATTTCTCCAAGGATCCATCGTTCCTATTAAGGAAAGATGGTTTTTACAGGCTAAGATCTGGACTCTAGATGTACTCACTGTTAGTGGGATGTCACTGCTCCCTAGACCTCTCAGTGGTCAGAGCTAGGGAATGTGTGTGTGTTTAGAGATTTACATTTCTGTTTCCATATCTATCAAAAACCATGTTTTTACACCAGTAGTTCCAATTCCATTCTCACACCAAGGAAATTCTAATTTCCAGATTGATAACCCACTTTTCTGGCAGTGAGAAACCTAGCTTACGTTGTCTTTAATATATTTACTGATTTGATCAGTCCTCTGTATGCAACCATTTTTTCTGCTACCAATTTTTCTGCTGCCTCTGCTACTACCTCCTTACTTGCACAGATCTACTCCTCATCCTGCTAGGCTTTGCCATTCCATCCTCACTGAAAACCGTGAATGCCCTTCTTATTTCACTTTGGCTCCAACAGCTTACACTTGATTATCACTCTATGTGGACGCCCTTCCTACCTGTCTGGGCTTAAAGCTGATACATTCATCAGTGGATACCCTTCTTATAGTTTGTTTGGGAATCTGTCCTAATGCCTGGTCATTTATAATTTTGGTAACTTTTTAAAAATTATCCTTTGCATTTCTTTGATTACTTTTACCATCTTCTCATGTCAAGAGACAATATATCGGCCAACTGCGGTGCCTTACGCCTGTAATCCCAACACTTTGGGAGGCCGAGGCAGGTGGATCACCCGAGGTGAGGAGTTCGAGACTAGCCTGGCCAATATGGTGAAACCCCATTTCTAACAAAAATAAGCTGGGCGTGGTGGCGCATGCCTGTAATTCCAGCTACTTGGGAGGCTGAGGCACGAGAATGGCTTGAACCTTGGAGATGGAAGTTGCTGTGAGCCGAGATCATGCCACTGCACTCCAGCCTGGGTGACAGAGCAAGACTCTGTTGCAGAAAAAAAGAAAAAAAGAGAGAGAGACAACATATCAAAAATATCATAAAGCCAAAATTATGACAGTTTGTCAGGATCACTCCCTTATTCCCTAATTATCTTCTCATTTACTAAGGATCATATATTTTATATTTGGTAAAGGAAGACTTTATGGAAATCTAAATTGGGTATAGTGTTTTTGAACTTGAGAACACTATTTCGTAATAGTCTAATGTGTGATTTACTTCTGAAACATAGGCAGCCATTTTATGTTGAGTAAACATTCTTTGAAGATGGATAAGCCCTCAGCTAAACTACAGTAGTACAAAGAAAAGAAAAAGGAAAAAAAACTACAGCAGTAGTAGTCCCATGCTTTGTATGGCAGTTGTTTTCATTTATTGTCTATTTTCATTTTTAATGTTGAGATGAAGAAGACCCTGTTTGACATTATTTTATTATGAACATTGTTAACATTATTCTTTTTAAAATTGTTCTCTATTTCTGTTCTAATTTTTCTTTTATTCTCCTCCCCCATGCAGTTTCCCCTCCTTTTTTTATTTTTAAAATCTAAAATTTGGCAAAGGATAATTTTGTTCAAGTCAGAATTTCTATAAAAGGAAATTATTTGAATATCTGATATGTCTCTCACCCAGTGTTTCTGCCCACATTACAATCAGGCACACACATTTATCAAAGTTAACAAGTCCAGAAAAAGCCACTGATAACCTTTGTTAAGCTTACTAGGAACTATAATGTTCTAGAATACTACCTCTAGTGAGAATAGTGCAGTTATTCAGGAAAGATTCATATAAAAGTTTGCCAAGCTGAAAGACTATTTCGTACTTCTTGAGCGCTGCCACAAAAATATTATCAGAATTGTAATTGTTTCAATATTTGTCAGAAGGACACAGGAGAATTAACATTAATGAGCTTACTGTATTCTAGGTCCAAGTGCTCACCATGACCCTAGGAGGCAGATGCTGTTTTCCCATTTTACTGATAATAAAACTGCACCTCGGCAGTAATTAGGAAACTGCTCTAATCACAGAGTAAGAGGCAGAGATTTAATGAGACTACAAAGCCTATGTTCTTTTCACTTGACCATGGTGCTGCTGTCTGTCAGAAGAGGAAAGATTCAGCACCTTTGGATTATCTCATTAGTATGATACAGATAATTCAGTTTTATAGCAATCTAGGTGCTTTCTCTGGAAAAAATTATTTTTCTGCCAGTCATCTGTCCAGATCATTATATATCAGGTCATTTCTAATTATCTAGAGTAATTACAAAGCTTACTTTCATGGAAAAGATAACTGACTACCTGTGAAAAGCATTTTCTTGTGAATCCCATACATCCAGCTGAAATAAAAGACACTCTTAGAATGATCCTTTAACATCTTCCTAAATCTGTTAACTTACAGCTTTCCGGAAGTGATTTTTTGTGGGATTTATAGAGATACATTCATCCTGCTGCAGTAGTTCTTGTTAAAACCAACAATAGTGATACGTTGGTCTGCAGCGTGTTCTATGGTTGTTTCATTCCAGAGAGATGGGAAGGAAATTAGTCTATGGCACAAGTCCAGGGCACTACCTGCTCTCAAGGGCTGAATTTATCATGTATTTGATCATCAAAAAATTTTAAGAAGAACTCTGGTATTTTGTGACGTTCAAATGTGAATTCTTAGATTTAACTGTTATTCCTACAAAAATGGTTTAAAGCACTGTCTGATAACTTGTTTAAAAACAAGCAGTGACTTTTCATGGTTATAAAATCCATGAGTTTGTAATTGTGCTTGTAAAAAGAAGGCAAAAACAAATAAAAACTCCTTGGTAACCGCTGGGCCTAACTCAATGCTAAAATTTAAAGAGAACTATATTAAGAATCTATTCTGCCTTTTCTATCGAATTGTATTTCAGGATAATCAAAATAGGTCTAGTTGATAAAGTTATTCTTTACAGAAGAATTCTACCCCATGGAAGGAGTGGTATGATTAGATAATCACCATTTTTAACTTGTATTAAAATAAGTGATTCAACAACAATCAGTGGCCAAAACCATTGATAGTCTGTGCATGGTGGCTCATGCCTATAATCCCAACTCTTTGGGAGGCCAGTAGATCACTTGAGCCCAGGAATTCCAGACTGGCCTGGACAACATGGTGAGACCCCTTCTCTACAAAAAACACAAAAATTAGCTGGATGTGTAGGTACACACCTGTAGTTCCACCTACTCAGGAGGCTAAGTTGGGAGGATCAATTGAGCCTGGGAGGTGGAGACTGCAATGAGCCATGATCACACCACTATACTCCAGCCTTGGCAACAAAGTGAAACCCTGTCTCAGAAAAAAAGGGGGTGATTTATGAAGAAGTTTACAATAGTGGGATTAGATTGTCACTACCTAAATCTAGTGGTCGTTTTTATCATCACTAAAAACCATTTAAGCCTCCTGGCATGAAACCATAGAAATACATACTGAGGTATATAAAGAGGAAATGACATATATGGGATTTGCTAGAAATACTTCAGATAAAAGGGAAGGGAGGACAAAGATGCTGTAAGAATGGTAAAATCTTAAAAACTGTTAAATCTGGGTGATGAGTGTATAAGGGTTCATTATACTGGTCTCACTTTTGTGGATTTTTATTACACAAAGTTTTATGATAGCACCAGTGTTTTGGGAATGACAAAATTGAAAAGAAAATTACTTAAGTCTTTTTTTCTTTGTCTTTTTTACCGCAAACATAATGGTTTTATCTGTGTTTCATCACATAAAGTTGTTACCCCATACTTGTGAGAATCACCCTATAAAGTTACAGAAGTAATATCATGTCCTTTCGACAGATCTTTCCCTAGACCATTCTGACCTAGTTGCAGAGTTGTTGAAGGAGCTGTCTAACCATAATGAGCGTGTAGAAGAAAGAAAAATCGCCCTCTATGAACTTATGAAACTGACACAGGAAGAATCTTTTAGTGTTTGGGATGAACACTTCAAAACAATATTGCTTTTATTGCTTGAAACCCTTGGAGATAAAGAGGTAAATGGCAAAATGTGTAAACAGTAGCCTGTCCTTTCTGTCTCTTTTAGATTGCCTGTTAATCCAGTGCTACACGGATTTAGAAATTGGAAGCATGAGTCTCTTCTGCTGCTTCTTTCTGCATGAACTTTTCACTAGGAAGTACTTTTTCTTCTAAACCAAGTAGCTCAACAATTTTGAACAATTAACAGGAAAAATGAAAGGTTGCAGGCTGAATTCTTATAGAAAAGTACATGTTACTTGTTTTATATATTTAGATTAGTTGCTCAGGAGCAACTTTTTATTTATTTATTTATTTATTTATTTATTGAGAAGTAATCTCATTCTCAAGCCCAGGCTGGAATGCAGTGGTGTGATCTCAGCTCACTGCAACCTCCGCCTCGCAGGCTCCAGCGATTCTTCTGCCTCAGCCTCCTGAGTAGCTGGGATTATAGGCACGTGCCACCACCCGTGGCTAATTTTGTATTTTTGGTAGAGACGGGGTTTCACCATGTTGGCCAGGCTGGTCTCGAACTGCTGACCTCAAGTGATCCACCTGCTTCAGCCTTCCAAAGAGCTGGGATTACTGGCATGAGCCACCATGCCCAGCTCCAAAACTCCTTTTTATAGTCTGAATGTAGTTGTTGATTTCTTGCAAATACAGTAAGTGTAATATAAATTTTCAACTAGAGATAAGAAAACTTAATTATGTAGTATAACGCATACTTTATGCAGTTGTCTGCAACTCCTCCCCCATTATTAAGACCCTTAAGTTACAAAAATTGAAAATGTTGGCTGGGCGCGGTGGCTCAAGCCTGTAATCCCAGCACTTTGGGAGGCCGAGACGGGCAGATCATGAGGTCAGGAGATCGAGACCATCCTGGCTAACATGGTGAAACCCCGTCTCTACTAAAAAATACAAAAAACTAGCCGGGCGAGGTGGTGGGCGCCTGTAGTCCCAGCTACTTGGGAGGCTGAGGCAGGAGAATGGCGTAAACCCGGGAGGTAGAGCTTGCAGTGAGCTGAGATCCGGCCACTGCACCCCAGCCTGGGCAACCGAGAGAGACTCTGTCTCAAAAAAAAAATTGAAAATGTTAAAGATTATCTACAACCCAAAATATTAAAAACATTTAAATGTTTCTTCTTAGCCTACAATCAGGGCTTTGGCGTTAAAGGTTTTAAGAGAAATCCTAAGGCATCAACCAGCAAGATTTAAAAACTATGCAGAATTGACTGTCATGAAAACATTGGAAGCACATAAAGATCCTCATAAGGAGGTAAGTTACCTGGAGGTTAAATTATTATTTCATTATTTTATTTCATGAAACATGTAAACATTGTATAAAATGTAGCCTTATTAATGATTTTCTTGAACATTTGCCTTGACATTCAGGGTAATACCTGATCAAGAAGCAAGCATATTTTTTTCTGTTAAATGAATTAAACAGTGATATCATGGCCTTTCACCTAAAATAGGCCAGCTCTAGGAAATAATTTATTTAATTTCGTTTTCTCCTTCACTTTGAGTTTTCTACTTAGAGTTTAGCAATCTTGTTTTCACTTTTCATTTAGCAATAAGAATTTGATTTTTTAAAATAACTAATGAAGATAAGAAATCATGGTTTTGGAGGGGTTGGTTGTTCGTTTGTTGAGTCAGGGTCTCACTCGGTTGCCCAGGCTGGAGTGCAGTGGTGTGATCACAGCTCACTGCAGCCTCAGCCTCCTGGTTCCAGCGATCCTCCCACCTCAGCTTCCTGAGTAGCTGGGACTGCAGGCATGCGCCAGCACACCTGGCTAATTTTTGGTATTTTTTATAGAGATGAAGTTTCACCATGTTGCCCAAGCAGGTCGTTGTTATTTTTAAGCGATAAATTGCCTAGAGGAGCTATTTATCTGCTACAAGTTTATTCACCAAAGTAGTGAGGACAGCTTTCATGGAAGAGTTCCATGAACCTGTTTCATAGTACTTGGTAGTCATGATATCTCTCTCCCCTTCTTCACCAGTGACATTGATTAGATAACTGTGAGGATTTGTATTATAATCTCAGAAAGAATTAGAAAAAAAAGTTCAAATAGGGACTACATTTTTTTTTATTTCAATACATTTTTTGAGCAACATGGTGTTTGGTTATATGAATAAGTTATTTAGTGGTGATTTCTGAGATTTTGGTGCATCCATCACCTGTGCAGTGTACACTATACCCAATGTGTAGTCTTTTATCCCTCATCCTGCTCCCACTTTTTCCCCCAAGTCCCCAGAGTCCATTGTATCATTTTATACCTTTGCACCCTTGTAGCCTAGCTCCCATTTATGAATGAGAATGTATGATGTTTGGTTTTCCATTCCTGAGTTACTTCACTTAGAATAAAGGTCACCAATTCCATCCAAGTTTCTGCGAATGCCATTATTTCCTTCATTTCTATGGCTGAGTAGTATTCCATGGTGTGCGTGTGTATATATACACATACACTTGGGGGGTGTGTGTGTGTGTGTATATATATACACATACAAAATTTCTTCATTCATTGATTGATGGGCATTTGGGCTTTTTCCATATTTTTGCAATTGCAAATTGTGCTGCTATAAACACCTGTGTGCAAGTACCTTTTTCATATCATGACTTCTTTTTTTCTAGGTAGATACCCAGTAGTGGAATTGCTGGATCAAATGGTAGTTCTACTTTTAGTTCTGTAAGGACTATATATCTAAGAGAAAGCAACTGAGAAATAGCATTAAGTATCTCTGGTAGAACCAAGACAGAAGCAAAAGACAGATCAAAAAAGGAAGGTTAAAATAGAAACGAGATAAAATGAATCAGAGCCAAATGCAAGAGCTAAAGCTATAAACCTCTCCAAAGAAAGCAGAGGTATAAATCTTTATTACTTTGGATTAGGCAGTGATTTCATAATATAACTAAAAGCAGAAGCAACCAGCAACAACAAAAAAGATAATTTGGACTTCTTCAAAATTAAATACTTTTGTGCTTTATTAGCTTAGTGGTCAGCTAGAGGTAACACTTTTAAAACAAATTTGGCCGGGCATGATGGCTTTGCCTGTTATTCCAACACTTTGGGAGGCCGAGGCAGGTGGATCACTTGAGGTCAGGAGTTCGAGACCAGCCTGGCCAACATGACAAAACCCCATCTTCACTAAAAATACAAAAATTAGCCAGGTGTCGTGGTGGATACATCTAATCCCATCTATTTGGGAGGCTGAGGCAAGAGAATTGCTTGAACCCGGGAGGCGGAGGCTGCAGTGAGCCAAGATCATGCCACTGCATTCCAGTCTGGGTGACAGAGCAAGACTTGTCTCAAAAATAAAAATAAAATAAATAAAAAAATCAAAATATTTTCTGTCTTTCAAAGGACATTATCTTGAAAGTGAAAAGATAACTCATAGAATGGGAGAAAAATTTTGCAGACATGTATCTGATAAGGTACTAATATCCATATATATATTCTTACAACACAGCAATGAAAAGATGGCCCAATTTTTTAAATGGACAAAGGATCTGAATAAACATTTCTCCAAAGATACACAAATGGCAATAAGCACATGAAAAGATGGTCAACATCATTAGTCATTAGGAAAATGTAACCAAAGCCACAGTGAGAGATCACTTAACACCCAAAAGAAATACAGACAATACGTTGGTGAGGATGCAGGGAAATTGAAACCCTTGGGGTAATTACTTTTTTAAAAGATTTGACTGTGACTCTTCTAGAAGAGTGAATCATAACTTTTAAATATATCTGGATTTTTGCAGGGGTTTTGGGTTTTCTTTGTTTTGAGACCGAGTCTCGCTCTGTCACCCAGGCTGGAGTGCAGTGGCACGATAGCCCACTGCAACCTTTGCCTCCTGGGTTCAACAGGTTCTCCTGCCTCAGCCTCCCAAATAACTGGAATTACAGGTGTGCACCAACATACCCTGCTAATTTTTGTGTAGAAACGGGGTTTTGCTGTGTTTGCCAGGCTGGTCTCAAACTCCTGGCCTCAAGTGATCTGCCTGGCTTGGCCTCCCAGAGTGCTGGGATTACAGACTTGAGCCACCTTGCCCAGCCCAGTTTTGTTTTCTGTTTCTGATTTTGTTTTATTCCATCAGTGTTCAGTAGTGATACACCTATGGCATTTCACTGAAAGTTTAAAAATGATGTCTAATATTTGTAGTTATTTACCTTTTGACCCAAATAAGGCCTGTAGCATCCCTACAAAATATAAAATTGACACTCTTAAGGTATTAAAGCTGAAATTGGCCCTGGGTCTTCTAACGTCCAGTGTATTTTCTTTTTTTGTTTTTGTTTTTGTTTGTTTGTTTGTTTGTGTGTGTTTAGACGGAGTCTCGCTCTGTCGCCCTGGCTGGAGTGCAGTGGCGTGATCTTGGCTCACTGCAATCTCCGCCTCCCCGGGTTCAAGCGATTCTCCTGCCTCAGCCTCCCAAGTAGCTGGGACTACAGGTGCGTGCCACCACACCCAGCCAATTACTTTTAAGACCCTGGGGCCAGAGAATCACCCAAGTTCTCACCCCTAAAAGAGATGTCTCCATTCAGAGTGAAAGGCTAAGTATACGTAACTGATGTGGTTATACTAATTTACAGTCATTGATGTAATGTGTTTCTCTTTAGCTACATAAACCGTATTTCCCACTGTACCTTTCTAAGCATTTTTCACCTATTGAGATCATAAGTGAGACACTGCCAAAGTAGCATCAAAAGTAGTTATTTTTACATGATCTTAAGACTGTCTTTAGAGATTACAGACTCTAATAAGAAGATAGACAGCCATTTCTTGTCATCATCATGAAACCAGTGTTTTACCCTCCCCAAAGCTCAATACAGAAGAAAGAAAATCATTATGAAAACAAGGAGGAATAGTATGTTAACTTTTGACAACACATTAATCATATGATTTTTATTTTATTTATGTGATACAAAGGGCTCAAGCACTCCCAGAGATGAGAGTACTAATAATGAGCAGGGCTTCAGCGTGGCTTATGCAGGGGACTCCAGTCACATTGTAGTCTTAAGTAAATAGAGCCTCTTCACCCTAATACAACTAGACCACAATTTGATTTAAAAACTACTTTAAGGCTGCGCGTGGCAACTCACACTTGTAATCCCAGCACTTTGGGAGGCCGAGGCAGGAGGATTGCTGGAGCTCTGGAGTTTAACATCACCCTGGGCAACATAGCAAGACCTCATCTCTACTTAAAAAAAAAAAAAAAAGTTCCAACTACTCAGAAGGCTGAGGTGGGAGTCTCACTTGAGCCTGGGAGTTTGAGGCTGCAGTGATTGATGATCAAGCCACTGCACTCCTGCCTGGGTGACAGAGCAAGACCGTGTCTCAAAAAAAAAAAAAAAACTACTTTAGCCAACAGCAAAAAAGAACACAAGAAGGGAAAATAGTGTAATAAAGCCCATTTATCCATCATCTAGCTTCAGCTGTTACTGACATTTTGCCAGTCCTTTGTATCTGTAATCTGCACCCTCACTTTTCATGTTTGTTTACTGTAGCATTTTCAAAGCAAATTCCAAATATTATATTAAATACTTAATGAAGTTTATACTTCCAGGACATAGTATAATATTTTAAAAATACTTTCTGGCTTACTTTCCTGTTTTTTTTTTAGGTGGTGAGATCTGCCGAGGAAGCAGCATCAGTGTTGGCCACTTCAATTAGTCCAGAGCAGTGCATCAAAGTGCTTTGTCCTATCATCCAAACTGCAGACTATCCAATTAATCTGGCTGCAATCAAAATGCAAACAAAAGTGATAGAAAGAGTGTCCAAGGAAACCCTTAACCTCCTTTTGCCAGAGATTATGCCAGGTCTGATACAGGTAAGCAACAAAGCTTTGAGAGGAATGAGCCATGATACATTTGAGATTCAGTTATTTTAGGTACTTTCCAGGCATTATTACTGGCATGATCAAGCCTTCCTCCTGTTTGTCTGCAATATTCGGGACAAAGACTTTTTCATAACTAGCCAGGGGGTTATAGATGTGGGTGTGGTAAAATTTACATAACATATAATTAACCATTTTTAAGTGTACAATTTAGGGGCATTAAATACATTCACAATGTTACGCAACCATCACTACTGTCCACATACAGAAATTTTTCATCATCCCAAACCGAAACTCTGTAACCATTAAGCAATAACCCCATTCCTTTCTCCCTCCATTCCCCCCCAGCACCTGGTAACCTCTATTCTATTTTCTGCTAGATTCCTTATAAGTGTAATAATACAATATTTGTCCTTTTAAGTCTGGCTTATTTTACTTAGCATAATGTTTTCAGGGTTCATCCATGTTGTAGCTTGTATTAGAATTTCATTCCTTTTTATGAATGAATAATATGTCATTTATGTATATGCCACAAATTGTTAATCTGTTCGTCTATTGATAAATATTTGGATTATTTCCTTTTTATTGACAAATATTATAATGAATTTCCTTGTAATATCTTCATGCACTTACATATATACATCTAGAAACAGAATTTCTAGGTGTTACCAGATTTCACTCCAAAGTGGTTATACTAATTTACAGTCATTGATGTAATGTGTTTCTCTTTAGCTACATAAACCCAATCATAGAAACATTTTAACAAAAATGAGATGTGTTTTATAACATGCTTTAACTTAGCCATACATTGTGAACTCTTTCCATCCAATAAATAATATTTTGCAATGTGATTTTAATGGCTAATATTACATAGTATATATATTAAGAACCCTCCTAAAAAGAACTAATCATTATACATCTATAGTATTGTATTTTAAATTCTATTCTAAGCTTAATATTACTAAATTGGGAGGTCCTAACATAAGATCCAAATCTCTTTGTCTGTGCCTTAATACTAAGAACAGAGTATAGGCTGGGCACAGTGGCTCACACCTGTAATCCCAGCACTTTGGGAGGCCAAGGCGGTGGATCACCTGAGGTCAGGAGTTCAAGACCAGCCTGACCAACATGGAGAAACCCTGTCTCTACTAAATATACAAAATTAGCCAGGTGTGTTGGCACATGCCTGTAATCCCAGCTACTCGGGAGACTGAGGCAGGAGAATCGCTTGAACCCAAGAGGTGGAGGTTGCAGTGAGCCAAGATCGTGCCACTGCACTCCAGCCTGGGCAACAGAGCAAGACTCTGTCTCAAACAACAACAAAAAAAAGATTTATAATATGTATAATATGTATATGTCATATATATAATGGGTACTGAATCCATATTTGCTGGATAAGTAACTTAAAGAGTGTTAGGATACTAGCAAAGAGCCATTATGGCTTTAAGTTCTTATAAATTTATTTCCTCTGATGATAGGTTGGTGCAGGATTTTATTGCATACATGATTATTGGGAAAAGGCATCTTACCTATCAGAAAAGCAAAAGAACGCTAATGAACATAAATATTAGCATTGTAACTCTTTGCTATAGACTATTAAAATTAAGATGTGTAGGTATTAGGACCAGAGCAATGAAAGGCAAGAAGGCAATGGCACTATGCTTTTTGAATGCCTTCAGATTTTCTCACCAGAAAATTATCTCACTGAGCAACTAGAATTGCATACAAAAAAACATGAAAAACATCAACAAAATTAGGAAAAGGTATCCCAGTGAACCCCTAAATATGAGCAGATAAGGCCAAACCACCACTAGCAGCAAGTTCCCTGCAAATATCAGTGGTATGGAAAAGTGTGAAGGAAAGTCAAAAATTACTTTTAAGACCCTGGGGCCAGAGAATCACCCAAGTTCTCACCCCTAAAAGAGATGTCTCCATTCAGAGTGAAAGGCTAAGTATACGTAACTGATAAAAATTTGGAGGTAAAAGCAAAGATACTGCGGGAAGCCCAAATCATGCTGGGTTGGCATGGATCCTCAGGGCTCTTAGAAATACCTTGCAAAAGCTCCCTTCTGGAAAGAGCTTATTTAGCAAAAAATTCATTGACTAGAGTCTAAACTGAGCATCTACACAACCATGAAAAAGAACAAAACCATGTCCTTTGCAGCAACATGGATGCATCTGGAGGCCATTATCCTAAGTGAATTAACACAGAAACAGAAAACAAAATACCACATATTCTTGCTTATAAGTGAGAGCTAAACATATTGGGTACACATGGACATGAAAAATGGGAACAATAGACAACTGGAAACTCCAAAAGCGGTTGGGAGAAAAGGGTAGGGTTGAAAAACTTCCCATTGGATATTGTGTTCACTGTTTGGGTAGGGGATCAGTAGAAGCCCAAACCCTCAGCATCACACACAGTATACTTACATAATAAACCTACACATGTACCCTCTGAATCTAAAATAAAATAAACTGAGCATTGTAGCAATATTGTGACAGAGGTGGCTACCCAAAGGCCATATTTTTTTTAAAAAGGGTAACAAGAAGAAAGAATCCTGCAGCTGTAAAGCTAGAAAAACTTTCATGGCGCAACCCACTCCCCCACACAGAAAATTCATTTTAAAATATAGAATACAGAAAAGTGTCTTTCGCTTACACATGAGCAATGGAAAAGGGTTGTGGAGGTCAAACCCAAAGATATTGCCTATTCTTCAAAAAAGAGGAAAAAAATAGTGGCGTGAGGTATACCTACAGTGAAGGTACACTAGACACATGGACACAAAGCAAATGAAAACTTAAACCCAAACTTAAGAAAACAAGGTAAAAAAAAATGTAAGAAAACTAGAGAAACTAATAAAAAGCATGAATCAGATTTTTTAAAGCTTGTAAAGTGGGAATTAGACAATAGATCTATTCAAAACAGAGCAGCCAGCTCAATAAATAATATTTTACTACCAGTCTTTAGTGGAATATACCCTAAAGATGAAAGAAACTGCAAAGAAATCTTGAACTGCATTCAATATATTCATAGGAAAGATGCTGGTATGGTTATTTTTGAATAGTAATAACATTGATACACATATCGATAGATAAGATAGATTAGGACAAAGCAAATAATGATGCCATAAAATGAAGGAAATCTTAAAATCTTAACTTTGAATTGGATATGTCAAAATGAAAATATTGTTTAATTTCGTATTTCAAAAAATGTTTCCTACTAGCCTCTGGGTCAGTATCAACTCAGAAATACTGAGCATCCCTACCACCCAGATTGTGGTCTTCAGATACCATTTTCCACTCAAAAGAGTCAGGTGTCTTTGGGAAAATGTGAGTCCAGGTTTGGAGCAGATAACGTATAAAATGAGCCTGGGAATTCTTGTCTGAAAGCAAGAAAACTGTTCATATTTGAGGGTCAAAAAGAATAATGCTACAATGAATTAAAATACATCAAATTTTAAAGTGAAATTCATGAGTTTATATTGATACTTTAAAAACTGGCCAACTTTCAAGATTATTGGGTTATTCCCAAAATTGGTTAATAAAGAGAAAAAAATCAAAGCACATAGACTACCTATCCTATTTTCAGGACAACCAAATATTTGATGAGATTAAGTACTTTTAGAAGGATTCCAGTTAGTAAATTTAGAAAAAAATTATTGACTTACAAAATTATTCTTGATCAGGTGTGATGGCTCATGCCTGTAATCCCAGCACTTTGGGAGGTCAAGGAGGGCAGGTCACTTGAGGTCAGAAGGTCGAGACCAGCCTGGCCAACATGGTGAAACCCCGTCTCTACTAAAAATACAAAAGTTAGCTGGGCTGGTGGCGGGCACCTGTAGTTCCAGCTACTCGGGAGGCTGGGGCGGGAGAATGGCTTGAACCTGGGAGGTGGAGGGGGGTGTGTGTGTGTGTTTTTGTTTTTGGTTTTTTTTTTTTTTGGTATGTGGTAGCTCACACCTGTAATCCTAGCACTTTGGGAAGCCAAGGTAGGAGGATCACTTGAGCCCAGAAGTTCGAGACCAGCCTGGGCAACATAATGATGCCTCGTCTCTACAAAAAGATTTTAATTAGCCAGGTTTTCTTGCCTGGTTTAGTGGCTCATGGTGGCATGCCTGTAGTCCCAGCTATTCAGCAGGCTGAGGTGGGAGAATCACCTGAGCCTGGGAATTTGAGGCTGCAGTGTGCTGTGATCATGCCACTGCATTCCAGCCTGGGTGACTAAGCAAGAGCCTGTCTCCAAAAAATATGTATATATTTTATATACACGCGCGCGCGCACACACACACACACACATATATATATTTGGCCTCATTGAAACGATGGATATATGAAGTGATTTTCAGTAGCCACCAACATCATTAGGTAAAAAGATGATGGGGCAGGGTATATAATGGAGGAGTTAGACTAACAACATCTGAACCTACTGATCAATCTTAATATCACTGAAGGTGAGACAACTAGACGAAAAGTTTTCTTGCCTGGCTTGATGGCTCATGCCTGTAAACCCAACACTTTGGGAGGCTAAGGCAGGAGGATTGCTTAATCCCGGGAGTTGGAGACCAGCCTAAGCAACATAATAAGAAACTATCGCTACAAAAAAATTTTAAAAATTAGCCAGTCATGGTGGCATGTGCCTGTAGTCCCAGCTACTTGGGGGGCTGAAGTAGAAGGATAACTTGAGCTCAGTAGGTGGAGACTGCAGTGAGCTGTGATCATACCACTGCACTTCATTCAGCCTAAGTGACAGCAAGACCCTGTCTCCAAAAAATAAAAATAAAAAGTTTTCTTTTCTGAAGCAATTGAACCGAAATCTAATCAAGTCTTCAGTTTAACTGTCAGTTTAAAGGAAGTTCAGAGAATAGAGAAGTGTGTTAAATTGTACCTTAAGGGTATATTCAGTCAAATTCAGAATGTAGGAAATTCTGTGAGGAAAAATGCCAAATTCCTTTAGTAAAGAAATGGCACGAAGAAAGAGGAAGAGGAGGTTA